GACTTGCCACGGTCTCCAACCCTCCTCCTTTCTCATCCGGGCTTGGGACCGGCCATGGCGGAGTTTTGTACAAAATTTTAATTTCTAATTAAAGTAGAATTAGATATAGATTTCAAGGTGTGATATAAGTCAAAATATAGCTCCGATGATCTCTCACAGAATTCTGCTATCAGATTGCAATATGTTAACATTTGTTGTTTCTTTCTTAAGATTAATTATTTTGTTCATGCAGTGTTGGTGATGTTGAAACGGTATAAAACTGTTCTTTTCTATACAGGGCAAACAATTTGATCAGTGGAATTATTGGCCAGTACCGAAATTTTGGCCCGTGTCTTACAGACCTTCTACAAGATAGACACATGTGTTGGTTTCAGAAATTCTTTTTTCATTCATGTGCTTGGAGCCAAAAGGTACGTTTTGTGTTGTATAAATACACGGTGCTCGGTGCTGTTTTCAGTGTGTTTATTTTTTCACAAATGTTGGTACGCACAGAAGAACCGCTTTTTCTGTTGATCTGTTGGTTCTTTCGACTTATTTTGGATTAATCTTCCTAATGCTAGTAGTAATTTGCAAGTAGGCTAATCAGCTGTAATACCGATCTTCTTCGAATGAAAACTTTTGCCTACTTCACTGAAGTTCTGGTTGAACGTTTCCTTGCCAACTGTGTGCTCTTGACGAAGCTGATACAGTATAAAGCAAATTCGAGGAAGTAGCCCGAAATGAGTATAAATTAATTCAAATTAAATAAGATAAGTGAGTAATTAAATAAGTAAATAAGATACCCATTTGCCAGCATTCGCTGGTCTTCGTATGGGTATCTTATCTTCTGATATGAAATCTCAAGGAAAGTTTGTTTCAGCTAGTTTATTCCAAGATGAGTGTTTCATTAGTGCGTTTGTGATCATGCTGAAACGATATAAAACACGGTTTATTCATACACAACACAAACAGTTTGATCAGTTGGGTGATTAACTAGTACCGACCTTTCGGCTGGGTCACAGACCTTCTTCAAGGTGGAGGCGGACAGGGTTGATTTATGAAGTTCGACTTTTGTGGTCCGCAACTGTTCTAACGTTGGCTCCAAAATCTTCGATGTTTTTTCAGCGAAACAGTTATACGTTGCTGCTGATTGAGCATGGGCTGCAGCCCGAATATTCTTCGTTCGCCACCGATGAGTGTTGTTTGGTCTTGCTGTTGCCACTACTGGTCGATCGCGCGTTGCAGAAGCTGGCGATCATCGCGTTTACTACATAGCGTAGAAGCACTTTCCACGCGTTCAATATTTTGGTTGAAACGCAAGCGTTAAAACAGCGTAGGAGGCCGCGAAGCTCGCAGTATTCCCGTAGGCAGTCCAGCACGGACGACGAGAACAGCAGCCACCATTCGTACTTGAAGTCGCCTCCAATCAAGTAGTAGTGAGAGGCGCCGACGTTCTGACATAAGTTATTCAAAACGACCACATTATCAATTCTGACCGCCTGAACGACCGAGTTGATGAAGTCGGCGAAGATGCTGGCCTGCTTCACGAATTGTTTGTTTTCCTTCAGCTTATTGTCCGGAACTTTTCTGAAGGGAAACAACCCCTGAAAGGACAAATAATGGCGGCAAATGTATTCGAGCGTGTCCTTAAACACCAAAGTTACACCAGAATCCACTACCACAGAACTCTAAAGCTGTGTTCACGAACTCAAAAACTGTGATCACGAACTCTAAAACCGTAGGTTGCAGTTTTTGATAGGTGAATTGATATTCATATTTTTATTATCAAGCAACCCAGATGCTTCCTTCCATGAGACAAATTTCAGAATTTTGGTCGATTTCGCAGCAGTAATGAATGGAATTATGTATCTTCGACAAGTTTTGATGACAGTAATGTAAAATTACTTCCGGATCATGCTAGCTTTGATGTACAGAGTCTTATCATTGTGATAAGGATGTCTGTCGTCGTCACGGTTGTTATTGTTAAGCTTCACCATACTTCCTGCTGAACTAGCAGTATGCTGCACACGGGTCTGTAAAACAGATCTATAGTGATTAGTAATAGCTTCAGGAGGCGGCTTTATAGGACGGATTTATAGTGGTGTGGTTTACGGAATAAAATTACATCGATTTTGTTGATAACACCGATCTACAGAAATTACGCTGATTTTATGTTCATTGCTCAGTACCTTTGTAAGGAAATTAAGTTTTATGTCATTCACTATGCATCTTGACGCTACTAGCCAAAGACGTTGCATTAACTGCCCGAAACTGCCTAAGATTGCTAAAAGGCAACCAATCTAGCGGGATTAATGGTTTATTTTGTCACTGACTAATGACGATAGTCTGTGATAACAAACTTTGCTTCAAGAAAATGTTTGGGTCCTCTTTTTGCATGGATAACTGATTTATCGATAAACATGAAGAAACTGAGTTATTACTTAACTTTCCACTTTGGAGGTGCTGGGTTCATGTCAGTCAGTTTTCTCTTATTCACTGTTAGTTCCCTCAGCAAAGAATTCACACCACTATGATTCGGTACAACCAGCCGAAAAGCACGTAGAAAGTGGCTGTCCTGGGAATTACAGGAAATGTATGGTGTTTTGATGTTGTCATGTTAAAGCCTGCGAAACATATGATCATGGTGGCTGATATGACTGCAGCTCGCTTTGACCCACCTGACAGCTGACCAAATATCAGTACAAAGTGCGAATATGTATTTTAAATAGCAAAATGTCATTGGCAAGACTCTTTGCAGCTCAAAATTGACTTCATCTAGCTTCTCGGTTTTGTCAACAGTGAATGTCACAATGTAGCTAGTCCAGTGCAAAATT